GATATACTACTACTACTCAAAACTGACAAAAGATACCTCCCCCACCCCCGAAAAAAAAATTAATGTCACAATAGTTATCATGAAGCATTAACATGAAAGTTCATCAACCTCAATGTGTCGTACGATTTCGTTAAGCATGATACGGGCTTATTAATGTTACCAATTAACAAATGTTATTCTTTCAACTAACTAGAATAATAAAATTCTGGAAATATATTGTAAATAATCTACGAAGGATGTCTATAAGCTCTTCACAGACAAATTGACTAAATCTAATAAATGGCCATAATTTATACAGGGGTAGCGGTGCACAGATTTAAATTTGCCATTAGATTTAAATTTGCCATTAGATTTAAATTTGCCATTAGTTTCAATTGGCCCGGTCGCTCATTTGTCACACATACGAATCAGCATGAAAACAAAAGACACCTTAACAAGTTGACGGAGGGTTTGCCTTGTGCTACACAAATGCTTTCCAAAATCTAGACTCTCCGGTCTTGACTAACTCTGTGTCAACTCTTTTTAGCATCTATATACATAAGTCTTGCACTGGAAACAGTTAGATAATAATGAAGCCGTGGGTTTATCAATCACGTGATACATGCAGCATGGCAAGGGAGTTCATGAGAAAGAGAAGCCCCCTATCCACACTCTCTTAATGTGTATCACGTGGTATGTGCCGATGTAATTCACTGTGATTGACAGAATAAAAATGTCCACATCTACCAAAGATCCTTTAAGAAAAATGCACCTGTTTAATATATATATTATAATAAAACGCTTAAAAGTTTACCATTTATGTAGTTGAATTAGTTGAAGTATGGGTTTAGGAATTAAGTGTGTATTTATGCCATCTAAGATGACAAGTCATAATTCCCACAATAAAATATTCATTAGTTTGACGAACAAAAAGACATATCCTACTCTCTAGCTGGCGCCGTTACTTTTAGTTTTATTTTCCTTTAAAAATCATAAGTATCTTTATTAAAAATCTATATGACATTAATTTGATAATATCGCGCCTTTTTCAGAGGATGCATGGCGCTGTACCGTTGTCTACAGACACATTAAGAATTATTTTTATTTTGTTGTCCTGCTTCTCTGTCATATCTTCATCTGGTTACATACAGCCTAAATTTAGTATGCATGAGATTTCCAATTCAATGCACATTTATAACATGATAAATGTTATCGCTATTCGAGACAGTGCGCCTAGACTTTATATTTATTCTGCTGGCTAATATAAACTTGACATGTCGACAAGTCTACAAGAAATTCAAATCTCCGGATTTTCTTCGTCGTATACAATTTGCTCTCTCATCGTTTTAGGAATGCACGATTTTCTCTACCTGACATTTCGTCAATGTTTGCTTTCCCATCAAGTGAATGTAGAAAGCGAATAAATCAAAGTGGCTTTCTCTGTCCCCGACATAAGACTCGTTCAGATATGACATCGCAAAACCGCGGCGGCTTATTTTTAGAATGACCTAAAGTGAAATACCATTCACATCTCTGTATCTCTGCGGTGGTTGACGGCGCCATATCTGAACATGCCTTAACGATTCGTACAAGAAATAGATCTGCCCAGTCTCATCCCCTCAGCTCATCTGGTTATAGCCATTCGTTTAGAACTTAAATCATTTGTCCCAATTTACAGACTTACATGGCAACCAAAATATAGCTCCTAATGTATTCATGACGCACATGCATTTATTAAACATGCTTTGATTGCTACAAGCAGTTCTCACAGACTTTCGAGAAAAAAAGCAATCACAGTTGTATATTTTGGGCTATCTTCTACTGAAATAGTCATTGTAACACTTTAAACCAACATGTTCGCGTGATCACTGAAAGTAAAACATTATCTAGGATAGTTTAGCACATTGTAGCATAAACACTGACAGCATTTCGTTAGAAATTTCTAATTATAATCTTCCAATAGTCATTAGGTTCATATCATAGGGATAATTATTGTAAGATGAAGGGATAGCGTAAACGTGTTTATTTACTTATTTATCTATTTATTTATTATTGACATATTCAAAAACAGGGTAGCTCATTCACAATAGTTTGGTGTACCATGAGGCCCAGTACATACAGAGAAAGAAATTTTTCAAATGCAGGAATAGCGACGGCACATAATTGTTTTTGCTTAACTTTGTCTTCACTTTTCGTAGACATTGTGACATTTCTGGATGAATAGTTAAAAATGTGGAGGAAGTGGCAATTAAATTGGTTGTTTTAAACACAATCAGGCAAACTTGACGAAATTATCAATATTTCGATAATTAGGTTGATAAGGGGATGAAGCAAAAATGCGTGTGAGTGGTGTGTGCGCGTGTGTGTGTGGGTGTGTGTCCGTGTGTGTGTATATGTGTTAATGTCCAATCAAGAGAGGCGATGGATAAAGATCAAGATTACAGTAATCTTGATCTAAGGAGACACGAACGAACGAACGAATGTCCAATTTCAAAAATGTCCAATTTCCGAAATGTTCCACTTTAATGCAATTTAATAAATGAGCAAGATCTTTTTATTAAATGGAGGGCATGGGCGAACATTTATCCATCACCTCTCTTGAGTGCCTCGGGATGGGAAGGATATAGTAAGATGTGGATAATGTGTGACATAACAGTGAACCAATGTAATACGAGTGATGTTCGACATTACACAGTCGCATGACCAGTAGACCAGTCGAGATTCACTTCGAATTAGTTGCTTCATCTAACAAACAACCTTGAATAGAAGGCTTAGGTCTGGTAAGTTAGGTGGGAACAAATTTGCGATCTTTCTTACTGTTTCCTATGACGGTTTGGCAGACTCTGCTATCCCTTGAAAAGAATTGCTCTTCATATGCAGTCATATTTGACGTATGCCGTTGGGATATCGTGAGTGTTTAGTCACAGCTTTCATGTCACAAGAGCATGTAGTCCCATATGAGTATTTGTGTGTCCAGTGCAAGTGCATGTGCTCCTTTGAGCAAATTTCCTATACCACTTTAATGACGCCAGCAGTAGACAGAACTCTTCTTTATCTCATACTCGACCTTTTAAAGTTGCTTTGAGACCATTCACTACGTTCGCAATGTAAGCATTACCGAAACCCAACCTAATCTATAAAGAGAAATCCAACCATTGTATACTTTCATAATAATTAAACAAGTTAATAATTATGAAAGCATACAAATAAGAAAAACAGAATGGAAAATACTTTATATCTTTCGGACCGGATAGAAGAGAGTTACGAATGTTTCCAAAAATGTATGCGAATCTAAAACTGAATTGGTAGTTTGTTCACTGGATTGTGACGTAGTGACGGACAAATCTCCGTTTTATCATTACTTTCCGTTATATCTTTCGCCGGAGGAACTAATCAAAATATATTATGACTTGAATGTGATTATAGGTCTTCTTAAATGTAGAGACCCTCCCGAGTCATATTAATAGATAGCTTTACATTTTGATTCGTCTGTTCGAATAAATCAGAAGTTATATTGCACTACATCGCATTGACATTACTAAGTCAGGCAATTCGGAGTTGTCATAAATGAATAATTATTTTATTCTTCGTCCAGTTTCACCAGTCTGTTTCTCAGATTATCAGATTACCCGATTATCATCGGGTCCTATAAATGTTGGATTTACCCTAACAACTCTCAAAGGGACATCCAACCAAATAGGCAACTACTCCAAAAAGAAACCGTTTCAATTGCATCTGACTAAATATAATAAAGTTATCAACTTGCGAAAGTTGTGATCACTATACGTATGGGCACTTCAAATTGGCTGAAGCGGTAATGACAATGTAATGAAGTGCCGGACTACTTTCCCATCAACAACTTGTTGCTCAGGAAGGTCTATTCTTTTTAGAGAACCTACCTATAATTTGCTATCTATGATACATTTTAATTAGTGCCCCAATGGAAAAGGAACTTACGAGAGAAACAGAAATTTATGATATACGTCACAATCCACCGACCGAACTACCAATTTGAGATTCGCATAGACTTAGTGATCTCATATATTTAAACATTTATAACTTCCTTACTATTGGTCCGATTCAATTCAAACTTTTGCCATTCTGTTTCTATAATATTTCTGCTTTCATACAAATCAACTTATTACAAGGGTGGGATTGCCCTTTAAAGCCAAAATTACTCTTATTGTCAGTTCTTCAATTTGTATTTTCCATCCTTATACAGGACCATTATGTAAAACAGCCTGCGAGCTGATCGATGTTATCCTGTTTAAAGATGTTTTAATAAATAAATAAATAGTATTTAGTGCCCTTGTATTTTGCATGATAATTCGCCGATCCCAGAGTTGGTTAAGTCCCCAATTAGCGTGTGTAAAGGTCTCACAGGCCTCTCCGGCAGCTAAACTGTTGGCCCGCCATAAAATATGCCAGCTTGCCTTCATATCGTATCCGGACACCTACCCCCCGGACATCCACCCCCAAATAACCACTCCCAGTCAACTACCCCCTAGGACAACTACCCCCTAGGGCAGCCACCCTCAAGGATGACTACCCCTCAAGACAACTACCCCCCCCCCCCGACCAACTACCCCCAGACAATTACCCCCTAGTGACTGACAACACTTTTCATATGGTAACACCCGAATGGTATCGTACTCCCCATAAGAACCCACTACTGTGACCCTTTAAACTTCGACCGACCTCTTCCTCCGTGGCTTCTGTTATCCCCATTGCAACCTGTTACATAGGGACCGCCCGTAAAGTTCTGGGACCCGTTTCACAAAGCCGTTTTTTCAATGACAAATGACAAAAAAAATCATTGACAAATCTGTTGATAACCAATCAGAAGCAAGGATTTCAGTAGCTTACAACACAAACTATCATTTGTCACTGGTGACAAGTTTTGTGAAACGCACCCCTGGTAGAAATAAACTGCATTCCCGTCGTACGAACGCAATTAAATGCAACCGAGTGCTCAGCCGTGATCAATATAGAATTATGTCGTTACCTACGATGACAGTATATTATCATTACCCCCCACACTGTTTGTTGACTGCATCTGTCTGCGTCGGAATATATCGTCTGCGCTCGCCAGGCGGTAGTGAATTTCGTAAACTTGGAATCTAAACGCCCCATGTTAATCGCGTAAAGATCACTTTTGGATCAGATGCACATATGTTCACCATGATTGTGAGTTATTTGTCAAAGTTATTTTTCTCCTTGCTTTGGAGTATCATTTCGATTCTCGGACGATCATCTTTACACGTGCCGTACGTTCACTAAGAACGAACGATCCAAGAACGCCTTGATTTTTAACATGGTTGTCTGAATAAAAGGAAACTGATATGTCTCACCTATTGAAGGTACGTATACGTACTTACGCCAGAATTTTATATTTTATATCATCTTGTATATTAGGTTCCTGATTTCCTGAAACCTGCTTTTACTTCTAAGGTTTGTGCATATTTGTTTCCATTCGTGTTACACTCAAGATCCATAAATTCTATATTATGTCAAGCTGACATCAGGTCACAGAAGGTCACGTTACTCCGTGACGATTGGCTTAATTTCTGACAGTTGATGTCGAAAGATGCGTGGCAAGAGACCACCCAACTGCACAATGGAAATCTTTAGACTCCGATAACTAATTGCAAATAATCACAAGAATTAAAATATATATAGTAATCAGATATTCGTCACATTTATCAAATAAATGCCTAAGTAATTTTTTTTACTTCTTAGACAGGAAAGCAAAGTATTCATTTCTTATTTCTGTTTCATTTTATTAAAGCACTTCATAGTTTGATAACTAAACACGATTTAAGATTGAAACTTGACGTAAGGCATTAAATACAAGACGCCCTCACAGAACAAAACAAAAAACCGGATTTATGCAGAACAAAAAGATTAAGGCAATGATGTTTAAAGCCTGATAATTTGCACCATGGAGCTACTAATTAGCATGCATGAGATCGTGTAATGCCATATTTGTTGGGCCATCAACCTCGATTTTCTCGTTTTGTCACTTATATTTCTGGCATTATACAAATACTCTCAATGCCTCGTAAATTTTTAATGGATTTGTTTGTCATTACAAGGAATCGACTATCAAGGGTAAGGTTCACATTTGAATTGTGTCAGAATGTGTTTTTGTTGAGAGCAAAGCTCCTCTACCAGCATCATTCTGTTTATCAGGAAATAAAGACGGAAGCTGATAACAAAAAAAGGCTTACTTCGTTTTATCGTGTAATACGACCTGTCGTGAAATCGTATCCCCTAAAAGTCAGACACTTCACCTTTTCCGGCTACACAATATTTTTTTAAACATACCCATCCAGGTTTATTCACTAAAGGTCGGGTAAAATGAATGTAATAATCACAATTTTTCAAAGATGGTCCTTGTGTTAAGTTTACCCTTTTTACACGTAAATTCGTGAAAAGATGGCCATACCTTCAGGTAATGACGAGGTGTCGACCAATATAATTTATCTCGTATTCTAAAATTGTCGGGGTCGTACACTTTTTTGCAGGTTTTTCTGAAAGTGTCGTGTAAACTTGAGCCGACGCTTTGGCAATAAGAAAGGTGTAATTTACAAATATTACACCCGGCCCTTCGTGAATTATAATAATAATAATACATAACATTTATTAGGCGCTTAATACTGATGTTTCTAAGCGCACACGAAAGTTCACGAAAGTTCGTGAAACTTGAAAATGAGAAGATGGGACTTCAAAATATGGCTTCAATAACAATACATAAGATTTTTTAAATAAATCTAATCATCTTTAATTCGTATATTTTTCGGTAATATGTTCTTATCACGTATCGACATGTTTATAACAAAATGAAGAACTGATAAGTGGATACATCTCATAAATTATCGCGTGCATAACTTCAACTTTAAATATTCATGATCAGTTTCCACGCCCCACCACCACCCCCCCCCCCCTCCCCCAGCAAAAAAAAGATGCGTCCAGATGAAATAACTTCTTAATAAAGGGTCGTTCAGATATATGCAAAATCACATCGGTTTTGTATGTAGAGTGTGATACCCTTCCCATTTCTCTATCTTACAACACATAAATCAGTGAGTATGCTCAGGTCCTTTTGTTGCACGCTGTTCCCATTTATTTACATGTTTGTTTGTTTGTTTTTAATTTTAAAGAAAGGGTTGAATTCTTTCCCAGCGGTTTACTGCGCCATATCCAAACAAGCCTCAATGCACTCAACATAAATCTGGCAAATTGGGCAAAATCAAAATTTTTACCACAAGGAAAAACCGAAAACTGTTTGATAGAATTGCTGAATCAAGGATACTGATGACTCACAATCGTCTGCTCGTACCAATATTTGTTCCGTCTAAACGTTATTGCAGTTTTTAAAAGCTCTTTCCTAATGAAGCATGAAATTGTCCGGCTGATTGGCAAAAGGCAACGAGGCATTTAACCGAGTGATCAGTGAAACACTAAGTATATACCCAGAAAAATATCACATCTACTGCTATTTGAGAAGTAAGAATGTATTAGTCATTAATGTTTGCATACTAGTCTTATGTTATTTTACATACATTCATGGAAATTGGGTACTCTTCTTTCCATTTTGATAACAAAATCAGTAGTATAAATGGCAAAAATGGTTGCAATAATTATACATTCATGCATTCATATACTCAATGGAGCGATGAATTTTACGAATAATTATTCCTCAAGCAATTGCCAAATGGGGCAATTACCACTAAACGGAAAGCAGTATTAACCATATATATAGATGCGTCCATACAGAGTGTTGTTTACGGATGCAATTAATAGTTTGACAGTTTGTATTTCTTTGATTATGATCTAGTCACGATATTCATTTGAAATGTATCGATTTATAGGTTGTCATTTTCGTGCTGTAAAAAGACAAAATCTTTACTGTAATAAAGGTTGGTAAGATAATGATATAATTTATCAAAAGGTTTACTACTTTGACATTTAATTGATAAGAGTTACAAACTAGAGATAACGATTTTAATGCTTGAGTTTTGGGCAAGAACCCATGCGGGCTAAATTGACCACAAAAGTGTAGAAGCTTCTTTAGGTTATACTATAGGTTACAAATGTTGCTTGTTATGTTAAAGAGAAGGTAGAGTTCCGGGAAGAGATGAAAAGAAATTGTTAGCGTTATCATTGTTATTATGCAAGTGTGGAAGAACATCAGATACAAAATATTTCCTGAAAAGCATGGCTCTTCAAATGCCTAAATGTTCTAAATATGGCATGTAACAGCAAAAAATCAGGACGGATTTTTATGCCACGTGTTTTTGTAGTCCCATGATCATCTTTCTGTGTACAGTGCTTGTAACTTTACCAAGACTGGGCCAAATTTCTTATCATTTTGATGATTCTAGAACCTTGCCATACACACCAATACTTATATGCTAGATAATCAACCTTTTTTGATCGATTCCACACCGTTTCTTCCACAATGCAATCCCATGACCAGAACTCAACTTTATCTTTAAACATGAAAACATAAGCAGATGAGAAAGTCTTATCGGCAGACAAGATTGACACACTTTCCATCACTTCTATTCATACTTGTAATTGGCAATCATTCGAAATGTAATTGCAACGTTTCGATTGAGAATCGTGTGATAAGCTATTTTGTAACCTAATATCGTATCAGAATCCCATTTCCTAGGCATGTTGGGGCTTTGATCTATGCTGTGGGTGGGAGACGAAGGGAATTTGTTTGATCAAAAGCTCAAGTTTTATTTAAAATCCTAAATTAGTTATGGTTGCAACCTCGCCCCCTCCCCCCCCCCCCCCCCCCCCCCCTACCTCGACATGACAGTATCTCACCTGTAGGACATGTGATTTATTTGTTCTTTTGTTTCCAATAACATTATATTATTGAATGTGTACCATACATTTGTTTTCTCAAAATCTTAGACGGTAATATTTAGATATTAAGCATTCATTTCAAATGAACCATAAATCAATTATCATACTATCGTTTTCGTTCGTTTTGCGTTATTTCCTATGGCAGCCATCTTTAAAGATGATTGCAACAACTCTCAGAGCCAGAATTTGAAGTATCGCAATATGCTAAAATTGTATCCATCTACCGTCATTGTGTCGAATGTTTCAAATCTATGAGATACTTTAATTGCACAATGCACAATTTGATAAGTATGCCATCAAGTCCTTTAAGCGTGTTATGATGTTAAAAGGTAAATCGTTTGAAATGTCAGTCGCTATTTATAGGAATACGTGCGTCAACTTATTTGTTTCTCCTTGTTGCCATTGCTACGATCATGAAGCTTTCAAATTAAGACTTGCAGTTAGTGCAAATTGGATCAATCAAGTCACGATTAACTCATTTCTGTATACATATAAAAGTAGAATTTGAATAAACCTGAAAATGATTTGTTTTTATTTGATTTGATATTTTTATGAAAAAATATAATTAAATAGAGAGGTACAAAAGATAAAGAGAAATAATATATAGAGCCTAAAAAATAAATATCAACTTGACGGGATGGTTTATTCTACAATCAATTTGTATATTACCCGGTTGGTCTATCCTCATTTGGTCTAATGGTCATTTAGGCTAATAGTCATTCGGTCTAATTTCCATTTGGTCTCACCTCCAATTAAAGTCTACTACCCATTTGATATTGCTCATTCAGTCTAATTTTCAGTCGGTCTCATCCTCAGTTGTTCCCCATTACTTCTGTACTCAAATTTTTCTCCTGCGTACAAACATTTGTATTACTTTTAATCTCTTTTTAAATGAAAATCCACATTCCCAACTTTCAAAATATATTAGGTTCAAAAGCGCATGCAGGTTCCATGTTAATTGTCATGATATTTTGTCACGAATCAGGACAGGAACCCTTAATAGGCCGTATGAAAATCGATGATTGATTTATTGATATAGAATACATTACGATTTTAATAGAAGGTAAAAAATTAAGTTACGCTCTTAATGAATAATCATATACGAACTAGGTAAACATCATATTGGAAGCTACAGCGTAAAGCATGAAGCTTGAAGTGCTTGCACTCCTCATTTTAAATAACAACAAAAAAAAATGTTTTTATTTTCGAGCTAGGGCTTTATAGTCTTTTTTAATACGTTTTTTAAACCTCGAGTCGGGTTTGTCCCGATTCGTAAAAGACAAAACTTTCAGGCACTACAATCGGCTGTGTTCACATCAATGTATTTTTATTTCCGTTGATCCTATCCCTGACTCTGTCTGCTTTTCCGATCTTTTTCTTAGCTTTCGTCTCATTGTACTTTGGAGCTTGATGGATTATTGCACTGGAATTTACAAAATTTTGTTTCCATTAGCCCCCTTAGTTAGTCCTAGAAGAC